GCCGCGGACGGCCGTCAAGCGCGATAACGGCGCGAGCGGTCGCAGGAGGAAAGGATACCGTCGGTCGAACTTCCCCCGGCGTGCACGAGGTTTGAACGGTCGCGGAGCGTCCAGCCGTTCCGATGGAAAGTTCTTTGGCTCGTGTCTCGCGCGACACAGGCAACTGCGGACGAAACGGGACTCGATGGGGGCGCGATGGATCACGGCGTTGAAACCGATTAAAGTCTTCCGTGTCGCGAGTGCTCGAGTCACTTCGAGTACGACTCCGCACCGCTGTGTCCTGGGAATATTCCAAGTGCCACCGGCTCGCGTCGCGAGTTCCACGATTGTGAACGGTCGTCGCTACGACTGACAACAGACTGCTTCGGCACGAGCTACTGGAAGTTCCGGAACTTCGAACACCGGTGGGAACTTGGAATCTTTTCAAGACCACGCATCCGACGCTTCCATGTTCGCAGAGTTCTACTCGAAGCGGCTCGATCCTCGCCGCGGATTCGACGTGCTCGGCGGCATGTCGCGCAATCCGTAGTCGCAAAGTCTGCGGTTCACTTCGTCACATTCGTTCCCCACGGCTTCGTTCCACTGGCTGTTGGATTCGGGTAAAAAATTAAACAATGGCGATTCAGCGGCTAGAGATCATCGTGGTCGACCAACACGGCTGGCCATCGGGCTGGCTGCGGTGGACGGGCACGAACGGCGTTCGCATGGCCGAGGCTCGCTTCGTCTCGTCTCTTCAGCTGATGAGGTCGCCGTTCTTGCGCAGCATCTCCAGGTGCAGCTCGTACTCTCTGGCTTTCAGCCGGAGCGTCGCGATGCTGTTGGTCCGCCGGTCGATGTCGGGCAGGCCGACGCTGCCAGTGGGCGAGCCCTGCGGCGTGTTCACCGTCGGCGGCTGGCTCGGGACCCCGGGGTGGGCCAGGCTGATCTGGGCGGCCTGCGGCGGCGGCGGCGGCGCCGGCGACGAGCCGCGCATCAGCTTCGGCCGCTGCGCGGCGGAGATGTTCGCCAGGAGGCTCTGGAACGACGCGGCCGACGCGTAAGGCAGATGCATCCCGGGCGGTAGCAAAGGTGGCGGCGCGCGATGATAGGGATGAGTGGTGTAACTAGCAGGAAGGACCGGCCCGTGACCCAGGGGCGGGTAGCGGAACGCGTCGAACGGTTTCCGCAGGGGAAACGCGCCCAGGTGGGCGAAGGGGTTCGGCAAGGTCGGCGCGACGACCGCCGATGGCGGCGGTGCGCCTGAACCCAAGTACGGGTTGTACGGGTGCGCCTGGGGCCCGACCTTCTCCTGCTTCCGCCATTTCGCGCGCCGATTCTGAAACCAGACCTGCAACCAAACATCGATTTTTATGGTGAGACGAGTGATCAAGTCATTCAACACGTTCGCTGCCGATCTCGAGCCGAGTGATCTTGAGAGGGGACTGAATGTTACTTGGTAATCGGTGCGATATACGTAATCGTGGTTTATTAACAGTTTTCAGTCATATTTGGTGGAGAACGTAGGTCGCCCCATCGCCTTCTCCTCGAGTGACCGGCAGTCAACGTGTTGAGAAGCTGTGTTCCGGAGGATCTTGCGATTTCGAAGGATGAATGGTGTTTGGTCTGATTACTTAGGAAAATCTACGAAATTGATGGCAACCCTTTGCACTCGGAAGGTGACTCTCAGTCACGTGATTCGATACAAAAACTGTGAAGTTGAATATTTAATATTTCTAATTAAAGTTTGCACTGCTACGTGAAATATTTAAATGAAACACCTCTGTTTCTTAATTTATCTATGAATTATCGTTAAATTAGTTTCAAATAATATGACCTATATCTCGGTTAAAGGTTAACCCTTTGCACGCTGTAATGTAAGTCTGTGACTCCGTTGACGCTACATCTAGGAAGAATTTTCTTTTCTATGAATCGTTTTTCGTATTGTTATATCTGTTGTATTGTAACTGTATTAATAAGACGTGACATTAAAGTGTATACGCGTCTGTTTTTAATGATACACGATGGTGCTCTCGGAGTAGCTGCTACAGTAGAAGTGACTCGGTGAGAGGTCATATCAGAAATTGCTCGGAGTGCAAAGGGTTAGAGGTTCAAGCGACCGGGAAGGCAATTCTTTCGAACAGTGTTAAAGGTGTATTGAAGGGAAATAATGTGTTTTATTTATATATTGTAAGCAATTGGTGTAACAGTGAATACATATAGGAATTCTGGGAGTTCGATAGAATATGGGAAGATGAAGGAATACTGTAACATTGGAAGCAATAAATTCCACGTGATATACCTGTATAAGTGTTTTTCAATATTATGTGTACAACGTAGAAGTTCGATACATTATTACACTCTATCGATCGATCGTACTCGCAGGCGAGTATTATCTTGTTCGAGGAACGGAAGAACGAAGAAGCGATCGACGGATTCGAGGATCGACGGTGCGTCGAGGTTTCGCGAAAGCGATTCCTTCGATCCCCGGATTAGAAAGGAAATAGCATTTTGTTCGCTGGAACTTGTTGGGGAGCCAATAGAAGCGCGAGTTCTGGTTACAGCGACGCATTCTCCCTTTTTCAGGAAACTCGCGGTGTATCATTATTTCCGACGCTGGAGGGAAACGCAGGATCGCTGCGAGGCATCGGTGTTCGCTGCTCGCTTGTCCTGTTCCCTTTCTCTCTCGCCTCGTTCCTGCGTCCGTCTACCTGAGGGTCCCCGCGTTCCTCCTCGGGAATTAACGAAATATCGACCATCGTAAAACCGTCAGAAGTCAGTCCGCCCGTTGGCCTACTTTCGTTTGCCGAAGTCTGCGGAACTGCGAAGGGCGAAGAGGTCGTCAGTCGAATTCAACGGGGACTCTTTCTCGTTAGTCCCTCGTACGCAGAAAGAGTCGAAGACAAGGTCTGTCGTCCTTAGATTCAGCCTGGGAGCAAAGAACTTCCGCTTCCCAGGTCTAAAAAATGAGCCATTGTCCTACTTTCGTTCGCCAAAGTCTGCAAAGCTTCGAAAGACGACGCGCTAGTTGGTCGAATTTCATAACAGTTCATTCTTATTAATCCTTCGTATCTAGAAAAGTCGAAGACAAGGTCCATCGTCCTTAGATCCAGCCTTGGAGTAAAGAGCTTCTGTTTCCCAGATCTAAAAAAAGGAGCCATTGTCCCACTTTCGTTCGCCAAAGTCTGCAAAGCTTCGAAAGACGACGCGCTAGTTGGTCAAATTTTATAATAGCTTATTCTTGTTAGTCCCTCTTACGTAGAAAGAGTCGAAGACAAGGTCTGTCGTTCTTAGATCGAACCTGGGAGCAAAGAGCTTCAGTTTCTCAGATCAAAGAGAGAAGCTAATGGCCCACTTTCGTTCGCAAAAGTTTGCAAAGCTTCGAAAGACGACGCGCTAATTGTTCAAATTCTATAATAGCTTATTCTCGTTAGTCTCTCGTATCTAAAAAATTCGAAGACAAGTTCCATCATCCTTAGTTCCAGCGTGGAAGCAAGGAGCTTCCGTCTCCCAGGTCTAAAAAAAGGAGCCATTGTCCCACTTTCGTTCGGCAAAGTCTACGAAGCTTCTCAAGAGGACGCGCTAGTTGGTCGAATTCCATGACAGCTCATTCTCGTTAGTCCCCCGAACGAAGAAAAAGTCGAAAACGAGTTCCCTGCTCGCCTTTCGCCACGCTTCGATCGAGCGGAGAAGCAAAAGCTTCCGTAGCCGAAGCGAAGAAAGCCAATCGGACAATCACGAATGAAACAAACGTCGTTCGTGATGCGTCGACCGTTCCAGCGCATTCCATCGCGAAGGTTCCCCGAAGACTCGAGCTCTAATCAGTTCAACGGAAGCTCTTCCTCTCCGTCCCCCTCCGGCCGGGCCCCACTTCCCCTGTTCACCAGTTAGGCCGCTATCCTGTTCTCCTTATTTCGTCCTGCCTCCACCTCCTCCTCCTCCTGCTCCTCCTCCGCCCCTCGCCGCCGTTCTTTTTTTCCAACGTTTCTTCCACGGAGTTTAATTCCGCAGTCCTCTCCGTTCCGTTGTTAAGTCGATTCCGTGTCGTGCTCCGACCACGGGACACGCGTATCCCGATTTCGACGTTGACTTCTTGCGAAACCGAGACGAATGGGCTCCACTCGAACGGATTTCTTTCGCGTGTCTCGTGACAGAACGCAATGACGAACGGCTGCCGGCGTTCGAGCAGCGTCCCTGCTGTCGCGGACAAACGCGTGCTCGACTTCCGGAAAATTGCCCGCAACGGATCACATTGGTACGCGCCGTTCGCCAGACACAATCAGGCGAAGTCGTTCGGACAGCAAACTTTCCGAGCAGCAATTTCCGCGCGGCGTAACTTCTTTTCGTAGCGGAGCGTGTCCGAGACGCTGTAGGTTACCTGCGCGTGGCCCGTTCGATGCGTCCGACGGATCGGGCAAATGGCAGTGACACGATTGTCAATGTCTTCGTACACGGAACGTGTTGCCCTCTTTTCCGAGAAACGAGCGAGCTTCGCGGAGCGTTTCCGTCCGACTGGAGAACTTCGTTCCACTTTGCTGCTCGCCCCGGGATCGGTGCCTATCCTCGACAGCGGACGAATCAAACGCGCCGCCGGAAGATGTAGACACGACCGATACAACCGGTGACGATGCAGCGTGTTTTGGGGTCGCGAGCGGGGAACGTTTCGGGATGACGCCGCGATTCGGCGATCGAGCTGATCGCGATGACTGCCGGGGTCGATGAAGGCGTACCGTGACTAGCCAGATCTTAACTCCGACTGTTAGGTGCCTGGTAGCAGATTTTCCCTTAATAGTCTCTCTAGGTTGTTAATTCTCTTCGGTGATCCTGGGATTACTAGTGTTCCCTTAGTAGCTTCGATCCGGGATAATAGCGAGTCAACGAGTCACCTCGTAGAGCTTCGATTACCAGGCGCTTGGTAGGGTTTTCTTTAATAATCCTCGAAGGTTGCTAATTCACTTCAGTGATTCTGGGATCATCGGCGTTTCCTCTTGCTCCATAATAACGAGCTGCCTACGGATCAGTTTGTAAAGTAGCTTCGATCGCCAAGCACTTGGCAGCAGAGTTTCCTTTAATACTCCTCGAAGGCCGCTATTTCTTCGTTGATTCTAGGATTACTGTTTCCTTAGTAGCCTTAGTCTAGGATAATAACGAGTCAGCGACGAGTCAGTTTGTAAAGCAGCCTCGATTGCCGAGCACTCGGTAGCAGAGTTTCCTTTAATAGTCCTTTTCCGCGGTACGAGAGGAAACGATATTTGTTTCGTTACCGGAGAGCTATCGTGCGCCTCGTTTCCTGTATTAAATCAACAATTGCCCGTGTTCCTTCCGCGAAAATATGACCGGTAGTTAAAGCGCCGGTACGTCTTGGGAACGGCGCCGACGAAAAAGACGCGGCGCGCGGAGCAGGAAGAGGACCGAGAGCCGCAGATACGTTCCACGGGCGGATCGAACGAATCGGTCGGATCCGTTGGAACATGCAAAGTCGTTGCCAGGCGTACGGAGAGTTAAAGGTGATGGGGTGTGGGGGGTCGGGTGCCAGGACCCCCCACGGCGAGCGGAATTGCCCCCAGCAGGGAGTTAAACATCCGACTTGCGGCTTTTAAAACAAAACGCAGCCACGATCCACCGCCGCCGCCGGAACCTAGTCGTTTCGTGCTTAATCGTGCCGCATTAATTACGCGAACGCCGGTACCTCTCTGCCCGTCCGTCCCTCTCCGCGCCCATCCCCACCCCCTTTCATCGATTCTCCGCCTGCTCCGCGGCCTGCGCGCCTCGCCGGACGAATCGTCTTTGGACAATCGCGTTTCCGATGGACTCGACGGACTTTCGGATGCGAGACGTCTGCTCGATTAGCTGCTTTTCCATTGTACTCAACGCTTTGGTCAACCTGTTAGAAGTACAGCGCTGCGTCGGTTCACTTTTCCAGAAGCGGAACATTCTGTGTCGAACACAGTGACGACTTGATTTGAATTTAGATAAATATTCATATGCGAAACTCTGCTGGATACCTTCCACGGAATTAGCTCGATGCGAAAGATAAAGTGGAAGTTTCCTCAGACAACTTTGTTGAGAGGTCCCTATCGAGGCGAAGGCTCGGAGCGTGTGGGAAAATTTCTTACTCACGTGTTGAGAATTCCCTTCCTCCTCTTCCTCCTCTTCTCCTTTAATACACCGGCTCAATGAAGGGTTTATTTACCCGTTAATAATAACAATTACTAACGCGGACTGGACAGAAGACACACGCACAAACCCCGGGACGGGCGAAAGCGCGATTCCCCGAAACGTTTTGTTAAATTAGCGCGCGTCCTGTCCGTTGGCGCGGCCCGCCGGACAATTTACACATCCCGCGGCAGAAAAGAAATATATTTTCACGAGGATCGCGTGGATATCGCGGGTACCGTTGCATGTATGTATTCGCCGGGCGCACGTACGTCCGCGCGGATCGTGTTCAGGGATTCCTGAAAATGATTAACGTGGCTGCTGCGGGCCCGGGGTACCGTGTCATTCTCGCCGGAACAGCGGTTCTCATTTGCCGAGCGGGTCGTGCGTCACCGATCGGAGATCTACATAAATATAATTAGTTGTTGACTAGCGATGACCGGTGGGAAATCTGCAAGTATAATGATCGGGGGAGCGAGTTTCTAGCTGTCGCCGAGTGGAAAACCGTCGATACGCGATCGATTCGAGAAGGACGATTGCAGGATAGAGCGAAGGTCTTCGACTAAGAAAATGATCGATCGGATCAGTCGCGGGAAGTGAATTCGCTGGAACGAAGAGATCGATCTATGGAATCGTTACCTTCGAGAATCTTTCTTATCAAAATAGCAGTAACACGTTTCTGTATTTTCATTCGGCACGATAAACTACTACTACAGATCGTCGTGTATCTTTCGCATCGATCTAATCTTGTTAGATCTTCCGGATCACGCGATAAGTGCGCGTCCGTTTAATCATTCCCGGGTTGTCACCGATCTCGTTCTCACGATCGAACTGAGTTCGTCGTGCGAATCGAATGCTTGACTCTACTGACCTGTATCCGAGCTTCCGTGAGGCCGATCTTCATGGCGAGCTCCTCCCTGGAAAAGAAAAATGGCCACACGTTAGCGGGTTCGATCGATCGACGAACGGCGCGGCTGGGGTCGCGACATCCGACTCGATCGGGAAAAAAGGACTGTTGCGCGTCAAGAGGAATGATTTTAATTGAATCGTCTTATCTCGCATTCAAACGCGCGGGAAAAACACGCCCGTTAATCGCCGCGGAAAAACTGGAAAATCTCCGGGACAGGGATAATCGCATACTTTGATTAGGCTAATTAGGTTCAGCCGCGGCGTTGCCAGGCTATCAATTAATCGCATTACGCTCGCTGACATTATGCATGATTTTCAATTCAATCGGCCGATCGCGTAAGTCGCTGTGACGGCCGGGCGGCGCGGTCGTGTGTGCAGCGAGCGACTGTGTTTCCATGGCTGTGTGCTCGCGCGCGCGCGGGCCCAGTGTCGCGCGGTCAGATAATATCTCCGGCTGACACATGTAATAAAAAGTATACACGCGTGTTACTATGTTCCTCGAGGACTACGCTGAATACGATTATTTCTAATAAATTGAACGATACTCGGCTGCGATCTTAAACCGATCGTACCTTACGCAACGAGATCGCCGCCGTTTCCGCTTCGAGGACCAGTGGTTCTCCCTTCCCCCTCCGTGGGCTCCATTTTCCCCGGCCGATCGAGTGCTACAGATCGCGGAAATCCGACACTGAGTACCACTAAATCGACTTCTGCGGCAATCTCGCGGAATCGTCGCTCGTGATCTTGAAGGATCTTAGAAACGGGCCATTCTGACGTACTCTATTTCTATCGTTAACCCTTGCACTCGAAAGTTTTTCACTTGAGATATTCTATACTCTAATTAGATGTGGACAAGATTCTTTGAAACGAGTTTAACAAGAAACCATGCAAAAGTAACAAAACTATTTTCTTTTAATATTTCACGTATTGATGGAGTATACGAAGGTTGAAGGTAAATACCAAAATTTGGAACTTTGCTGGAGGAAATCATCTGGGAGGCGCCTCTCGAGTGCAAAGGGTTGACCCTTTGCGGACGAAGATTTCAAATGTACGAAACCTTCAACGGATGAAGCTAAATTGTACATCAATTGTACAATTGATGGAATAAAAGGAGACAGTGCTGATCTCTTGCTGTTCGAGCAATTAAGTCATTCCTTTGTGACTCAGTCTTCGAAATATGAGAATTCCATCTCGCCGGAACGTCGACATTCGTCCGCAAAGGGTGAACGCTTTGCGCTTGACAGGCCCCGAGCCAGCATTTCATTCGGTCCACTTAAATCATAGTCTTCCACGCGATATCTCTGAACTTCCGTGTGCTCTCTGGTCGTTTCCAATGAGCGTCTTCCACGCCAGACCGGAAAATGTCGAACGTTTCCACTGAAAACGTTTCGCGTGCGAGGGGTTAACAACTCCTCTTCCCGAAGGCATAAAGGAAGCAGCGAATCACGCTTGGGGCCCCCGTCCGAGGCAGCGCAACAGCGCCGCCGACAAAAATCGCGAGGACAAAGCGAGTTTCGCCGGGCCGTGGCTCGAGAACACACCGGAAACCGATCGTTTCTCGATCTCTAATGCCGTTGCCGGCCGAGAATGGTCCGGCCGGTGATTACCGCGCCTCGGTCCCCGTCGAATCTGCGAATCGGCCGGGCCCGTGTGTGTCTCTGGGTGGAGGGCCCGCGGGGTTCCTCATCTCGCACGCAAATTGCCCAGATGTTCCACGAAATCGCAAGGAAATCTTGGTGATTACGTCGCTTACCGAGCTGCACGCGGCCTCGATCGGCGGCCGATCTCGTGTTTAGGCGCATTCGGCCGCGATCCATCGTTGCTTCCCCGCGAAATTACAAGGGAACCGCTGGTGGTGCGCCCGAAAATCGCGCGCGGTCCCCGGACGATTCGCCACAGCTGTCCATCGCGCGCATTCCTCGACGTTCCACCCTTTCCTCCAGACTTTCGACGTTCCGAAACTTTCGCTCCTCTCTCTCTCTCTCTCTCTATCTCTCTCGAACAACGCGAGCATTTCGATAACGTTCCGTTACCAGGAAGCAGCTACAAGCGTTTACGATAATGGAAAATCAACAGCGCCGAGAGAGATCGAACGCCGACGGTTACAGCCGTCGAGGGTTACTTTTCCGCGATCGTTGAACGCTATTGACTCCCGATTCACCGCGGTCTCTAAGTAACTCGTAATCGAATTAACTACCGCCAGCCAATCTCCCTCGTTAACGCGCGGCCGGGTCGGCCGCGTTATCCGGCGCTCGTGGCGAATCGGCTCGAAAACCCGATCGCTGGGAACGGCTGCCGCACAATAGACACGGTTCATTTCGCGGGAGACTCGTCGATAGACGCGGCCCGCTATCCGGGCGGAGAAGAACACGGTGTGTCGTGACGCGCTATTCATTTCGCGGCTGCCGGTTGTTTCTCCAATAAACCGACTGTTTATCCAACGAGTCGGCGAGCGGGGCGTACGTAAAAAGGCTCGTAAAAGATTTTACGTCCTCTCCTTGTTCTTTAATCTACGATCGATTTCTCACGCGAAGCCGGCTGTCCCTCCCCGCGGATCTCGGGGAACGCTCACCGCGGCGAGGCGAGGCGAGGCGAGGCGAGGCGAAGCGAGGAGAGCGGGAGCACCTTGGCCTGCGAGTAATAATCATTCAGCCTTTCCCTTTTTCTCCGGCTTGCTCGCGGACGTCCTTCTGGATTTAATAAGATCACGAAATTTCGCGGTTAGACGGGGCGTCCCTAATTACACCCGCCGCCGCCACCGCCGCCGCCGCCGCCGTTCACCGGGTACAGCTCGCAGTGACCCGCCGCGCGCCGAGCTCCTCCAACTCGGTCACCCTCGGCTCTCGCGTATAGTATATCGTTATTATTACACGCTGTTTCTCCCCCTTCCTCTCCCCGATGTGTCCTTGCTACGGGAAACGCGCGCCGGTTGCCGAGTCCCAGAGACTATGGCGCGATCGGACCCGGCGCAAAAGGCGCGCGCCTAGATTGACTAGAGCCTTGTGCAACGTCTGGCGAATGAATCCTGGACTTCGTTTATCCCACCGACGGTTTTCCAAAGTGGACGCGATGGTTGCCTGTCTTTGCTCCTGTCGGGACCTTGAGCGGGATTAGGAAACACGGGAGTATTAGAACTTTGTCGTGCACCGTGATTGCTGTTTTCCGTCGGTTACTGATGCTATTGAGTTACCGATCTCGATCCTTGTATCTCTCAGTGAATTCGTGTCGTTGAATAAACGGTTCTCCGAAGAGGTTAATACTCTTGTCAGCGCGTTAACCTTCGCGAAAACCTAAGCTTCTCTCGTCTGTCGGACCGGTTGCATCTGTATCGTTGAGCCGTCGCGACGGTTTCCTTTGAAAACCGGGCGAGAGAACTTTTCAAAAGCAATCTGCCGATCGTGCGAACGATACGGGCGCGTCCGTGGTACGCAACAGAGGAAGTAAAACGCTGCTCGCGTTTCCTACGATACACACGGCTCGCCGCGGCTCGTTGCGACACCAGGCCGCAATCAGCTTCGGAACCAATGCGAGAACGGAACCGCAGTTTCGCAACTGCCATCGCGATAGAACGCGGGCTCCCGCGACCGCTAAGTGGATTAGAGCCGCGCGCTTCTGCTGCAATCTTTCTTCCTCGCCCGGCTGAGCCTCTTTCTAATCCGCTCCGCTCCGTCTCCGGTGAAAACCGCTTTTCCGAGGTGCTCCGCCGCTGGTAGCATCCCCGCGCGCGTATCGCTAGGAGGCTCCGCCGCCGGTCGGAGAGACACTTTTCCTCTCTCGTCGCGGATCATTAGGCATCCACGATATCTGGAGCAAGTAATGAATAAACATCGATCGCGGGCATAAAGTATCAGCGGCTATGCAAGAATCTTGCTCCCGACGTGGACCCGACACGTTATTTTCATCGTTCGCGACGCCGATACGTTCACCGTGATTTCGATCGGGTTTGATGGCTATCTGGGAAGTGTCCGTAGGCTTTACGGTATCCTTCTGATAAGGAACATTGAACACAAGGTTCCACTGGCAAATGGAAACCGGTGAGACGCGGCTGAACTTGATGATGCGGGGTACTCGACCCTTCTTCTTGATTAAACGGTTTGCCGATCGGCTCGTCTTGATTCAAATTAACTCCTAGGCGGAATATTTTACTGTCGACACTTCGTAAGAAATACAACAAATTCTCCATTCTACTTCAGGTGGAAGCTTCATTTGAAGATACATTGATAATAGCAAAATAGTTGCCTTGATCCGTGGATAATGAACAACATTGATTCTTGCTAAGTTAGTTTAATCTTCATCGCGAGTCTCACTCGTCATTGTACGGGGTTGAAGGTCGATCACAACCCGGTGAGTGTCTCATGGTTATCGAACATATTCCGACGACAGGAAGGTAAAAATTCCTCCATCGAGGAAAAACCGAAAGTTTAACGCGCTACTGGGAGCCACTTAATTTCCCTCCTCGATTTTTCCTGCTACAAGGATTCGTTTTTTACCGCGGGAATGTCTCGGTTAAGTGGATTACGAGCGGCGGCCACCGGGACTTACCCGCGATCGACGATACAGCGTCATTTGTACACATTGTACGCGGTTGCGCGTTTGCATAAATCTCGTTAGATCGGACAGAGAGGAAAATAACAGGTGGTGCACGGTACCGTGGACTCGCGAAGAGAGACAGAGAGAGAGAGAGAGAATGAGAGAGAGAGAGAGAGAGGAGG